AAGTAACAAAACTTAAGACAATTAAAGACCGCTTCAATGGGTGACTCCACGTTGGGGAAGAAATCACGTGAAAATAACAAAAAAAAAGAGGAAATGAACTCATCCAAAGATAGACTGTCCAAATGGTCCACAATGAGTCTAAAGCAAAGATGAGAAAATTAGGGGGCAAGGAAACTAGAGCACTAGAAATGGTACAACCACATGGAATGAATTAGACACTGGGAAATGTAACTGACTATCACTGAAAAGTCTGTGTAGAAATTGTTGCCTGGGAACCTAACTGGAACATTAAAATGCTATCTTAAAAAAATTCCAAATGGGTTTAATAAAAGACTGTGCCGTCTATAAAGAAAAAGCTGAAGCCCCTCGGATGCTTCTTGTTAAGTGCTGTCAAATTGGTTCTGATGCATCGTGACCTGGTATAGGGTTTTCAAGAAGTAGTTGGTGGGTTTGAACCGCCAACCTTGTGGTTAGCTGTACAGAGCCACACCAGTGACCAAGAAATCACTAGGCAGGTTATATAGGATGTCAGCATGATGGAAAACCACAGAAGAACATGCAAATAGGAATGGTGCCAAGTGAAAGGACCCGCTGTTGTCTGCAGTCAGTTTCGACTCATCTGTCCAGTCGATTCCAACTCATAGTGACCCCTTAGGTCAGAATAGAACTGCCCCATGGGGTTTCCAAGGCTATAAATCTTCATGGGAGCAACAGCCTCGTCTTTCTCCCCAAGGAATAGCTGATTAGTGGGTTCAAACCATTTGTTGGGCAGCTACCAACCACTGTATCACCAGGCCTGACAAGATCTCATATACCTTACAGCAACCCCAAGAGGATGGCCGGCTGTCTGAATTCACCCTGTCTCCCAAATCTACACCCCCCATTTCCCCCTCCTCCTCTAAGCAGCCCAGGCACTCTGGGCCTCGTGTTACAGAACTGCTGAGGTGGGAACACACGGTCCCGAGGATCAGACCTCTTCCCAGGAAGTACAGATGCTCCAGCAGGAATGGCAGAGATGGAGCTTCACCAACACCCTCGCCATCATGATTCGGAACTTCCACATAACTTGTTAGGTCCATCAAGATGGTTTCCTAGCTCAGTGACCCTGTTGTATACTGTGTGTATGTGTGGTGTACATGAGGGTGGTAAGCATGAATGGTGCATGAACTGTACGTGGTATGTCTGTGTGGTATGTGAGTGTGTGGTGGTGGTGCAGCGGTGTAGATACACTTCCTGCCCTCTTTCCTGAGGTTTCGTGGCTCCTCCAGGACACAGTCCTGCCTGGGGACCAACTCCTGGGAGTGCTGTCCCTCCATCCTCTCTCTCTCAGTCTGTCCTCAACTGTGGTGGAATGCTGAGAGGGGTAAGCAGAAGTCTTAGGGTGTGATAGAAAGAGTGGGCCAGCCACAGGCAGGCGGGAATCTGAACACAGACTGCCTGAACAGGTTTTGCCACCTCGGAGCCAGCATTTCCTGATCTCTGAACTGGGCCTGGGTCTCGATCCTGCTATAGTGCGCAGCAGGTGCTTCCAAGGAAGGTTCCCAGAGAACAAACCAAAAAGGCCCAACCCACCAGCGAAGCAGGATCACATGGGCTTCAGACAGGACAGGACAGTACAATAAAGCAAAATTCGGGACGAATCTTCATGTATGCAGAGAGTGAAGCGTCCAGCTGATAAGAAGAGAGGGCAGATGCATAAGAACACTCACTGAAGTAAGACATTCACAAGTCAAATCCAAAAGTGTTTGAGGGAGAAAAAACCATGCAGCACTGGACTGGTAACCACAAGTCAGCGGTTCAAAGCCTCAAGCTGTTCCGTGGAAACCCTATACAGAATCGCTGTGAGTTGGAATGAACTCATGCATACCACGTTACAAGTAAAGTCTATCCCAGGAAGTCAAGGACAGAAATTAAAGCCTTTTGTGTTAAAATTCTTAACAAAATAGGAACAGAAGAGAATGCCCTTAAGGAATAAAAATAGAAAAAAATAAAAAGAATGGGAGGAAACAACAGTGGAAGAAAAGTGTCAACAAAGGACAACGGAGACTCGAAGAAGGACTTAGACCCTTTCCCTCCCCAAGACCCACTCACTACCCCTATAACCCACAGAATTCTTACACGTGAAACCTCCGCCTGTCTCCCCTTTTGCTCCAAGGTAGAGTTTAAATGGATAACATTAGAAAACCTTTTGATTAAAAAGTCTTAAAGCAGAATCCTGATGAAAAGTGGGCAGGGATGGGTGGGAGGAGGAAATGCAGAACACAGTGTCAATTTCTCATGGAATCCAGACTTTCTGGGTCCAGGGAGGCTGGGTGAACTCCCGAAATGACTGCTTTGAAATGATTCCTGAAATGATCATCTTTAAACCTGAAACCAAAAATATTCCCCAAAGTCTTAAAACCAAACTGTTTCGTTTAAGTTGTAAAGAATGAAAATGAGAGTCAGTGACATAGCCACAGAGAGTGAAGCGTCCAGCTGATAAGAAGAGAGGGCAGATGCATAAGAACACTCACACTTGCAGATAATACCCATTTGACCTGGCTTCAATGACTGGATGATCAGAGCTCAACTAGAAGAAAGAAGAGGAAAAAAAGAATAATCTGAAACAATTTGATGAACTTGACCTACACCTATGGTTGCAGTAGCTCAAAAGAGGGAACAAATCTTTACAGTGAGGATCATTCCCACCCCCTCCATACACAGAATAGACAGGGATGGACAACTTGGACATTGGCTACCCACAGTGGGGATGGGGTGGTGTGGGGTGGGGGGGAAGCTACAAAGGCAAGAAGTGACTGGCTTACAAGCTTTAAAAAACAGAACCTAGATCCAGAGGGTGTGGAGGAAAGTAGAATCTCCACTGAGTAGTATCCAATCTGTCTGGGCGGGGCTAATGAAAGGAGATGCAGACAGGTCTCTTGTGGTACAATAGTGAACAGTTGCTATCAGGACTGACTGCGAGGGTTGGAAATGTAAAGGTAGATGTTTTGTAGCAAAAGGAGGGGAGTGACTGACTTTGCAGTCCAGGAGTGGAGGTCCCTGGAACCATCAAGGGAGAAAAGTGGAGAGCGGGACCCTACCCAGAGAAGCAATGATGCCAGAGATGGAGGCAAAGACGATGACGTGGAGAGATGGATCAGCTGGGGACTCTAGACCCAGAGAGGGAGAGGGGCAGTGTGCTGATGATCGGGGGGCAGGCTTGCTGGATATATCTTTTGGTTGGTTGATGATGCATGGAGGGGATTGTAACCATGGCAATGAAACGATAAATGATAGGATGAATATAAAGCTAATGTTCTCCATGTAAACCATTCACATAATTCATAATAAAACATTAAAAAAAAAAAAGAATGAAAGTGAGCCCTGGTGACCACCTGTTTGATTAAACACAGGACTGTTAACCACAGGTGGCCAACATCCCAGCTGCTCCTTGGGAGATAGAGGAGGCAGTCAGCTTCCATAAAGATTTATAAGCCTTGAAAACCCTCTGTCTTACAAGGTCTCTATGGATCAGAATCAACTCCACAGCACTGGGTTTGGTAAAATGTGTCTGCCTTCAGCACTGTGCTTTTTTTGAGATCTATCTATATGGGTAGAGTCCTGTTGTGGCCCTGTGGGTTAATGTGCTGGACTACAAAGTCAGTTTGGACCTCAAGATTTGCAGTTCAAGCTCACCAACTGCTGCTCCTAGGAAATCCTACACAGGGTCGCTATGGGTTGGAAACAACTTGATGGCACTTAACAACAACAATGTCTATATGGGATCAAGTGGACAAGAGCAATTCAAAAGATTCAATCGGAACCTTAGGGGGAAGTGAGTTAATGTTAATGGGGGAAGAACAATTGGATAAAGGGGTGAAAGTGATCATACAACTCCAAGAATGCCCCTAAATTGTGCCTAACCACCAGGCAGGCACCGTTGCACCACGGACTGGATCTAGTTCATAGGTCTTTCTTGTGATGGACTGGGTTACTATTCACCCTCTCAGCCTGAGGCATGGTCTCCTTTACCTTCTGATGCTGCCCTTGACCTCGGAGCTTTGCTTCAGTCAATGGAATGTTAGCAGATACATTCCAATGAGCGAGCGCAGCCCCACTTGACTGGGTTCTTTTACTTCCGTCATTTTCCTTGTGAAGACCCTTGGTACAAACACAAACCCCACCTGTCTGTGTGAGTCCTGAGCTCCCCAGATAGCTCCAGCCGTCGACCCACCCACCGACTATTGAGAAATACCTGCTTGTGGTCCTAATCCCTGAGTCCTGGGTGACTTTTTCACCCAGTACCATTTATGAGTACGGTGATAACCAAGGTACATAACCCACTAAGTGGGATTTATTCCATATGATTCCCAGAGAGTACACACGTGCTTCCCCCTAGGCTTTGGGGGAGTTTTCCTTGACACCCTCCCTGCCATCACATAAGGCCCCCTAGTGCTAGCAGTCTGTCATCTGTAGTGACCCCCCCCCCCTCCAGGCCTGCCCCCCTGCCCTTCTCACCTGTGTGTGGTTCAGCAAGGGAAGGGAGGCCCGATGCGCAGAGCAGAATGCCTGGCTGGCCTCCCAGGCCAGGGCCTCGGGAGACAGGTAAAAACACAGCTCCTGTGTCCACATCCAATCCCGGGGGCACGGCCGGCACTTGGCCCCTGCAAGCGAGAGACACACTAAAAATCACAAGTCCCCAGCCAGCCGCCTCAAGGGACAGAGCTGATCAGGAGGTAGGTCGGGCCCAGGGAGGTAGTACATTCTGTGTACAAAGTCCCCAGAGCCACTGTCCACCAGGCACAGGCTGGCCAGGTAGGAGCAAGGAGCTCCTTTTTCTTGGCACAAAAGCATTCTTAGCTCAAGATGTCTCTTCCAAGCTGGGGGGATGCATGTTTCTAACTCTCCCCATTGCTGTTAAGACTGAGAGACAGTACTGATGGGGGCAGGAGGAGGGACGGAAAGGGGCATCGTACCTACTCTGGAGACCAGGACCACGATGGTGACCACACACACTGCAAGGAGGAGGGCCATGATGGCCAGAGCCCAGCGCAGGGACCTCATGTACATGGGCAGCCCTAGGGGGCATAAAGAGAGGCAGGTCAGACCACTCAACTGCAGTGACCTTGGACCCACACTCACCTGAGCTCTTGCTCCACAGTCCAAGACATCAGGAAAAACATTTGACTTAAATTCGGGTTTCACATTTGGGAGAAAGATGGAGATGTTTTTCTTCTTAAATAACTAGAGGGACTCCACACGCCGCTCCCTCCAGAGAGCAATAAAACTATGCCAACAGTACCAGACATCTCTTCCTTCCCAGCGTCTGTCCCTTGGCCCCGCTAGCTTCCGCCCAATTTCCTTCTCAACCTAGGTTACCCATCACCTCCTGTGAAGTCAATGCCCCTGCTTACCCCACTTCACTTCTGACATGTGACTGCCCTTGGTGCTAGATTGAATAGTGCCATACCCCCAACTCATGTCCTTCCAGGCACCTCAAAATGTGACTTAATTTGGAGATGTACAATTGCAGGTATAATTAGTTATACCTGAGTAGGGCAATCCCTAATCCAGTAGGCCCAGAGTCCTTAGAAGAGACAGAGGGGAAAACAGGCAGAGACTGGTAGAATAGAGGAGCTTGTAGGGCCACTGTAAAGGGCAGAACCCTGCTGGTCCCTTGATTTTGAATGTCCAACCTCCAGGTTGTAAGAGACAGAATTTACATGAACTGAGTTTGGGGTACTTTGTTAGGGCAGCCACAGAAAATCAACACACCATCCTACAGGGAAAAGAATAGCTGCCTCATGGCCAGCTCTTTGGGGACACTGGTCCAAACATATGAGGGGAGAGAGACACCCCAGTCTTCACAGTGCTGCCTCCCTCAGGTTCCTGGGGAGGGAGCCTGAAGGAGTTGGGAAGTTGCACGACCATGTTGGCCAAGTCATGGAGTCTGTGGCCTCCTTTGGCTCCTAGAGCGTTGATGTAACCCAGGGTTAGGTCACCATAGATAAAGTGATCACAAGGCAGAGTTCCTAGTTCAAGCAGCTTCCTGGGGCCAGGCCTCAGCCCTGCTCTGGGAATCCCATGTGCCCTAGAGAGAAGAACCAAAGCTCCTAGCCTCAACACCCACCTGGCATACATACTTCTTTGTCTGGTGTCGCCCCTCCTGTACTTTTCCTCACACTCCAGGAGGACCAGCCTCCATGGCAGAATGGTTTCTCTCGTGGTAACACTCTCTAAGCATCCAGCCCATCCTTTCAAATCAGTTTCTTTTAAAAACGGGTTCAAAATTATAGACCCATTTGGTTGACAGAATAACCAAAAATGTTCCCACCCAAATCCCTAGAATCCTCAATACACTGGCAAAGAGGAATTAAGGTTGCTGACCTGGAGTCCTGGTGTGGTGCTGTAGGGTCAGTACTGACTGATGATGGCTTTTCTATCCAATGTCTCTGGTAGCATAGTGGTTATGAATCGGGCTGCGAACCTCAAGGTCAGCAGTTCAAAACTACCAGCTGTTCCAAGGGAGAAAGATGAGGCTTTCTGTTCCTGTAAAGGTTTACAGCCTCGGGTATGCCAGTCACTATGAGTCGGAACCAACTCCACGGCACATAACAACAATAACAACATCCAATGTCTTAATTTCCACCAAGTAATTGGGTGGGCCCATGCAAATAAGGTGTACAGGACTCTAAGGCTGGGATTGTTCAGTTTTGCTATCTAGCTAGGTTTAAAAGGAGTCATCTAGGTTTAGAAGTAAGAATGGAAGATTCCAAGACCATCAAGAAGGAAGAGCAATGCCAGAGGAGATGGCAAAGGCGGTGGTGTGGAGAGACAGAGCAGTCTGTGGTCTAGGTCAGGGGGTCACATGGCTGAGAAGCCAAATACAAGAGCGAGATGTGTTTGCAGCATAGCAGAGAAGAGGCGTTCCTGATTGGAGAACTACTGAGTCCTGCGTTGGGTTTTGATCCTGAATTGTATTTTGTTCACTTCCCTAATAAACCCCATAATCGTGAGCATTTTGAGTTCTGTGTGACCATTGTAATGGATTATCCAAGCCAGGTGTGGAGCAGTGTGCTGTCGGGGGGAGGGTTAGTGCCAGAGCAGGGGAAAGAAGGTTGGAGGGTGGAAGCCTGTCTGACCTCCGGCTTCAGAGGAATTGGCCTTAGGCTGATTTTGACTTTGATTCTCTTTTCCCCTTGTGAAGCCAGGGGAAGTCAGACATGGTCTCCACACACAGTTTGTACAACTGCTAACCACAAGGTCAGCAGTTCTAACCCACCAGCCATTCCTTGTAAACCTTATACACGTCTCTATGAGTCAGAACCAACTTGGGGGCACATCTCAAGAACAATGACAATCAGCTGGTCTGGAGCTGGGGAGAGTATTCTGGATTATTGGTGAGAGATGGAAGGACTCAGCCCCCACCTTGCTGGCCTTTGATGACAGAAGATGGGGTCTGACCACAAGTCCAGGAACACAATGGCTTCTAGAAGCTAGACAAGGCAAGGCAATGGAATCTCCCCCTGAACCTCCAGAAAGGAAGGTGGTAGCCCTTCCAAACCCCTTTCAAGCTTCTGACCTACAGAACTGTAAGGATAAATCAGGGTCATTTTAACGTATTAAGTGTGTGAAATCTGGTACAGCAGCGACAGCAAGCTACCATACCCCCAGCATACGGTGCCCACACAAAACCTGAGAGGCCTCCGGGGCTTGCTGCTGCCCAGCTGGCCTGTCCAGCCGCTCCATGGGCCTAGCAGTTGGCTGTCTGCCCACTTTGCTCTCCTTCCTGCTGCAAGTACCTCCCTGCCCCCCCCCCCCATTCCTATTCGCTTTCACAGGGCTCCAGGAAGCTTTCCCATGCCCCCAAGTTCACTGATCACTCCCTCTTGGTTCCTTGTCCTGGGCGGTTTCATATTTTCTGACTCTTTCTTCCTTCCGCCCAACTCTCTTCACCACCACCCGTTTCCCCTCCCTTTCCTTTCCCTCCACGCACAATCATCACTGATAAAGAATGAGTGTTTGGGACCAAATGACCAAATGCTCCTCAGGAGAGTGGCGAGAAGGGGAGCCATTAACAGTGGGAAGGGTGGCTGTTCAAACCACCCAGAAAGTTCTGGCAGTCACAGTCTTGAAAATCCTATGGAACGGTTATTTGCACACCTGGCAAGGCCCTAAGTCAGGTGTCCATGGGGACAGCCTAATCGGCCTGAGTTCTGGAGAACTCTGTCCCTCTGCCCTGTACTGGAAGAAGTCCCCTCTCCGCCTCTTCTCAAAGATGCTGTGACCACTAAGTGGGCCTGTGATGATGATAGTGACAATTATTCTTCCACCAGCATTTGGAGTTACCTTGTTGCTGTTAAGTGCCATCCAGTCGGTTCCGACCCATAGTGACCCTGTATAGGGTTTCCGAGGAGCGGCTGGTGAGTTTGAACGGCCAACCTTGTGTTTCAAACTGACTTTGCAGTCCAACACATTAACGCACAGCACCGCATCACAACTCCTGGAGTTACCTAGAAAGTTTACTAATCTCTCAGCCCAAGGCAAGGCCCAGGGGGCCTTCATCAGCGTCCCTAATGGGCAAGGACTAGGGATGCCCCTGGGGGCAGGAGGGGCGGGTCTGGGTCTCCAGACCCACAGGGCAGAACTGTTGTGTGGGTCCCCGTGCCGGATACGTGGGGGCGGTCATACTCGTCTTACCCATGAGCGCGATGGCGCGCGGCAGCTCCTTCCCATCAGCGCTGGGCAGCAGCGCGGCGTCCTCCTTCTTGTCGGGGCCCAGCTCACGGCAGCGGCAGCGACCCAAGAACGGCGTCAGGATTCCGTCGGCGGGGCTGGCCAGGGGGCTGGGGGGCGCGGAGAGCAGGGGCGAGGAGCGGCGCGCAATGCCGGGAGACTCGGGCACCGGCACCGTGAGGAAGCGCCTGGAGGGCGCGGGAGAGGGGGTCCGGCCAGGGGTGCCCACCGGCGTCACGCGCACGTCCACCTGCAACTCCACCGGCGCCCAGGCCCCCGCTTCGGACCCCGGTGCGTCGCCGTTAAGGGGCGGATCGGCGGGAACCGGCGGCTCGGAGGCCCCTGGGCGGCGAAAGGCGCCGTAGCCCAGGCCAGGCAGCCGCAGGGGCGCCGGTCGCCGTCGCTCGCCCCCGGCCGGGTCCGGGCTGAGCTGGGGACTTCGTGGCCGCTGCACTTCCTCTGAGAGGTCTGACCCCGACCCGGGCCCTGGTGTCCCACCATCCAATGGCTCCATCGGGAACTCGGGATGGGACATCGCACTTCGCTCCTAGGGCGCACCTGGGCCAGGTACGCGCGATTAGCCAGCAAAAGCTCCTGAGTGCTCAGGCCACGCCCCTCTCCGGTGGTCGGCTGTGATTGGCTGTGGCTAGCTCCCGTTGGCCACGCCTCATACCTGGTACCCACAGGGGCCCTTGGGCGGGGCGGGACCGGGGCGACCCAGGGTCAGAGCCGGAATCCGGAACCCCGCCCCACTCCTCCTCTGTGTCCTAGGACCCACCTTTACCCCTTCTGCTCTGCTCTCGGATTCATTTCTAGTCTGTCTGGTGTTTTCATTTCCTAAATGATGGACATTGTGCTGGATTGAGAGATTGGCCAGGCCTGTTAGTGAATCCAAAGGAAATGGGGCGGCCTGAGGGAAAGTTGGGGACATGGTGACCCTGTTAATGTTGTGGGCGGGGACGCCTGAAAGGATTCCTGGAGGCAGAAATTCTGGGGATGGACAGATTCTAGAGGCCTGACTCCTACTAGTCTGACTCATCCAAGGCTGAGGAATAAACATGTGCTTCTTTTTATAGAAAGAGGGGCCTGGCCCGGCCTCCTGTGTGGTGAAATATAGGGTGGCCACTGAATACTCTTTGAAAAAATACAGATTCTTGGCTGGACTCCAGCCCCACCCCCAGCCCCATACAAACTTGCCATCAAGTCAATTGTGACTCATGGCAGCTTTATATGTGCCAGACTGGAATTGTTAAGGCCTGCCAGAAAAACAAACAAAAAATCTGTGTTGTAAGAAGTGCAGCCAGAATGCTCCTTAGAAGCCAGGATGGCCAGACTTCATCTCTCATACTTTGGACATGTTACCAGGTGGGACCAGTCCCTGGAGAGGGCCAACATGCTTGGTAAAGTGGAGGGTCAGCCAAAAAGAGGGAGACCCCCAATGAGATGGGTGGATACAGTGGCAGCAGCAATGGACTTCAAAAGTTGTGAGGAGGAAGCAGGATGGAGCAGTGTTTCTTTCCATTGTGCATCGGGTCGCTGTGAGTCTGAACCGACTCAATGGCACCGAACAACAACAGAGCTGTGCTCGGTAGTGCTGTCCATTCTGATATTTCAAGTAAGCCACCAGGTCTTTCTTCAGAGGCACTGGGTGGTTTCTAGATTGTTAATTACTTGTCCCATCTAATGATTCTGCTCCACCCAAGTCTACTGAATCTCCCTAGGGGAGGGGCTGCCAGCATATTTTTTTTAAAGTCCCAGGATTGTTAGATAAATATAGAAAGCTCAGTTAAATTTGAATTTCAGATAAACAGCAATGTTTGTTTTTTAGTATGTTGTTGTTGTGAAGTGCCTACGAGTCAGTTCTGACCCATAGTGACCCTGTATAGGGTTTCTGAGGAGTAGCTGGTGAGCTTGAACTACGGACCTTGCAGTTCAAATGGCTTTGTAGTCTGGAACATTAATCCACAGTGCCACACCAGGACTCTGCTCTTTAGTATGTTGTTGTTGTTAAGTACAGTGGAGTTGGTTCCGACTCATAGAGACCCTGCACAGGGTTTCTGAGGCTATAAATCTTTACAGGAGCAGAACACCTCATCTGTCTCCCATAGAACTGCTGGTAGTTTCGAACTGCTGACCTTGAGGTTGGCAGCGCGACTCATAACCACTATGCTACCAAGAGCTCCTTATATTGCGTGGGATACACTTAGACTAAAAGATCATTTTCTTGAGTATCTGAAATTCAGATGTAACCTGCCTGAAGTGTTCATTGGTTTATGTTTATGCCAAGAAATTTGGAACACAGCTACCTGGCCAATCGACTGGAAGAGGTCCATATTTGTTCCCATTCTAAAGAATGGTGACCCAATAGAATGCAGAGAAAGACAGCCAATGAGATCATTAATATCACAAGCTTCATCATTCTTCTGGGAAGCAGCTGGTGGGCTCGAACTGTAGACCTTGTGGTTAGCCACAAGTGCTCTCTGTGTGGAAGGCAAGAATTTTATCCTGAACCACCACTGACTGTCCCATCATTGAACTTTAATGGGCCTTGAACCCTGAGTCTCCGTGGCTGACTCTTAGAAGCAGTCTTCTTTAACAACAGCCTTGCTAGCTATGCCCCTGAGCAGCACCAATTGCAGTGTAAGGTCCTGGGGTGATGAGCTACGGAGACTCCCTGTATGCCAGTTACAGGTCACCAGCTCCTTCCAGGAAGTGGCCCCACCAGAGCCCTGGCCACCCCCTAACCGCACACTATGGAGTTCACTGAGCACTGAAGTCTGATGGTATCTGGTCTGGCTGAGCAGATGGAATCACTACATAAATCCAGTCACGGCTGGCTTCTCTTGGAAGGAGCAATGTGTCCTCTTCTGGCTCCAGGCTGGTGTCACCGTCAGCTCTCCTGAGGTCCCTGGACACACAGGTGAGGAGGAAGGGGGTTTCTGCATGGCCAGCTCCCTGGCATAGCTCGGCTCAGCTCACATTCCAGCTGTGCAAAGCTCTTGGACGATCCCACCCAGTGGACACCCCACCCTCCCAGGCTCTTCACCTGGTCACTGTCTTCACAGCATGACCTGAGGTCAGCTAGCTCACATATTTCCAGAACATGCCTTTCCCTGTGTTTGGCTTAATGAATATTCAGTAAATAAATAATGCCCAACAGGGCTTTGTGCCAATGCTTTGCATTCTTCTTATTCCCCCAATTTTTTATTTGACCAATTTTAAGCATTAAGAAAAGTAGAAAATCCACAGAACCTCAGCTACCAGGACCCTGAAACAAGAAGAGCTAGATGGTGCCAGGCAATCACTAACATTTGGTTCCTTTGGACTCATGTTAGAAGGTCCTGGATAGAGTGGGAGAAAAATGTGGGACAAAACTCAAAATCATAAGAAGACCATGCTTGCTGGTCGTTGTAAGAGATTGGTAGGACCCCAAAACTATGGTCCTTAGAGACCCTTTAAATATAGAACTGAACTCACCCCGGTGGATAAACTTTTAGCCAAACAAGAACAGTCCTTTAAGGTGAACAATCTACTAGACAAGACCGATAGGGCAGCCCAGGGATAAAGCCCCGAGGGCAGGAAGGGATGGGAATGAGTGGACACAGGAAACATAGCAAAGAAGTGAAAAGAGGTTGTTACATTGTGAGGCTTGTAGTCAATGTCACAAAACAAGATGTATATGAATTGTAGAACGGAAAACGAATTTGCTCTGTAAACTCCCATCAAAAGCCCAGTAAAAAAGTTTAAAACAAAAAACAACCAACACCTGAATACCATCTCCACTCAAACACATGTTTGGTTGTTGAATCATTTGAGAGCAAGCCACAAATCTCATGCAACTCCACCCTTAAATACTGGAGCCTGTGTCTTTCAGGATACATGCATTCTCTTGCATAAGTACAATGCCATGAAATTAGCAATAAGTCCATATTAGATATGTTGCTTTCTTAGGGCTGCTTGGTAAATTGGAGGGTCAGTAAAAAAGAGAAAGACCCCCAACGAGACAGATGCAGCAGCTGCAACTATGGGCTCAAACGTAACAGCAATTGTGAGGATGGCGCCGGCCCAGGCAGCGTTTTTGTTCTGGTGTATGCGATACCAGACGGCACCTAACAATGACAACAGGGCAGTTGTAACAAAGTATGAGAAATTGGGTGGCAGGACACAATCAAAATGTACTGTCTCACAGTTCTCGAGACTAAACGTCTGAAACCAGGGTGTTGGTTCTTTCATGTTGGTTCTTTCAAGGAGCTGAGAGAAGGAATCCATTCCACGCGTCTTCGTTTTCTCTGGCTTGTTGGTGTATCATTCTGATCCCTGCCTCATTCATCACACCGCTGCCCTTTATGTCTGCCTCCCTCCTCTTTTATAAAGACTTCAGTACCATTGGATTAGGACCCACCCTACCCCTGTTTGGTATGGTGGAGGGTCAGAGAAAAAGAGGAAGACCCCCAACGAGATGGATTGGCCAAGTGGCAGCATTGATGGACTCAAGTGTGGCAACAGTAGTGAGGTTGGCCCAGGATCGAGCAGTGTTTCATTCTGCTGTGCATAAGGTCGCTATGAGTCGGTACTAACTTGATGGCACCTAACAACAATGACAAACACCCCAGTCTGACCTCATGTTAACCTAACTGATAACATCTGCAAAATCCCTGTTTCCACACAGGATCAATTTCACAGCTACCAGAGTCTGTCAGCCTGTCTTTGTTGGGGGACACAATTCAACTCGTAACAGGTGAAATTATAAGACCATATCTAAAATTTTCCAATGTTTCTAAGCAGGATCCATTCAAGAGTCCCAGGTTGCATTCGGTTACACCCACGTCCTCTCCGTAATAAGCAGGTGAGGACAAAACTAATCACTGCCATTCAATCATTTAGCAGGGACAGAGGGTTTTTTTGTCCAGGGCCACTGACTTTTTTTTTTTTTTTTTTTTGTAAAGTTTTTATTGTGAACTGAGTGATAGTTTACACGAGAGAACATTGGTTTTACACTCATGTTTCATTGCAGTGATTACAATCTCCTCCCAGGGCCACTGACTCTTAAGTGGGAAGATAAGCCTCCAGTTTCTGATCCCTGAACACTTCTTTGTCCTTTATACCATACTGCCATCCTTGCCTGATGCTAGGACCCAGGTGAAGGTGTTGGTCCAGTTACTCAGCAGACCTAGCCGGCTTTCACATTCTCCATTATGACCAGAGACACAATACCTACTCCTCCGGACTTTCTCTCCTGTTACTCAGGGATACTGGCCACTAATTAGTGTGAAGAGAACTTATCCCATGGAGTCTTTCTGATGAGAAAGCATTTCTCCTGGATGAACTGAGCATACTGAATCATCTTCGGCTTTCTCTCTGCATGTCCAAACAAAGACGGGCTCTGTTCCAGAATACGGGAGTTCCACTCCCAGAATCCTTTCCTGTGGGATATAGTACATGGAAGATTATGAGTAACCAGCATGTGTGTGTGTGTGTGACTCTCCTAGCACAGAACTAGAGACTTTTCATTCTGTTTGTTGTACATAAGGTTCC